GTCCTTCCTGATCACTTGCCCAAAGTAAGTGAGATGAAGTCTTACTATCCTCAATTCTAAGGAGCATTCCGGCTGTACTTCTTCCAAGACAGATTGGTTCATTCTTCTGGCAATCCATGGTATATTCAAAGTCTTTGCCAATCCCATAATTCAAAGGCATCAATTCTTCTTCGGTCTTCCACATTCGTTGTCCAGCTTTCACATGCATATGAGGCAATTGAAAATACCATGGCTTGGGTCAGGCACACCTTAGTCTTCAAGGTGACATCTTTGTTTTTCAACACTTTGAAGAGATCTTTTGCAGCAGATTTGTCCAGTGCAACACATCATTTGATTTCTTAACTGCTGCTTCCATGAGCGTTAATTGTGGATCCAAGTAAAATTAAATCCTTAACAACTTCAATATTTTCTCTGTTTATCATGATGTTGCTTATTGGTCCAGTTGTGAGGATTTTTATTTTCTTCATGTTGAGATGTAATTCATACTGAAGGCTGTAGTCTTTGATCTTCATCAGTAAGTGCTTCAAGTGCTCTTCACTTTCAGCAAGCAAGATTGTGTCATCTGCATAACTCCAATATTGAAGCCCGTTCTTCATATAGTCCAGCTTCTCAGATTATTTGCTCAGCATACAGATTGAATAAGTATGGTGAAAAGATACAACCCTGATGCACACCTTTCCTGATTTTGAACCATGCAGTATCCCGTTGTTCTGTTCGAACTACTGCCTTTTGGTCTACGTACAGGTTCCACATGAGCACAATTAAGTGTTCTGGAATCCCCATTCTTCACAATGTTATTCATAATTTGTTATGCTCCACACAGTCGATTGCCTTTGCATAGTCAATAAAACACAGGTAAACATCTTTCTGGTATTCTCTGCTTTCAGCCAAGATCCATCTGACATAAGTAATGATATCCCTTGTTCCACATCCTCTTCTGAATCTGCTTAAGTTGCTGGCTGTTCCCTCTACTGCTGCAACCGTTTTTGAATGGTCTTCAGCATAATTTTACTTGCATGTGATATTAATGATATTGTTCGATAATTTCCACATTCTGTTAGATCACCTTGCTTTGGAATGGACACACATATGGATCTGTTCCAGTTGGTTGGCCAGGTACTTGTCTTCCAAATTTCTTGGCATAGACGAGTGAGTGCTTCCAACCTTGCATCTATTAGTTGAAACATCTCAATTAGTCTTCCACTGATTTCTGGAGCCTTCGTTTTCACCAATGCCTTCAGAGCAGCTTGGACTTCTTCCTTGAATACCATTCATTCTTGATCATATGCTACCTCCTGAAACAATTGAACATAGACCAATTCTTTTTGGTGCAGTGACTCTGTACTCCTTCCATCTTCTTTTGATGCTTCCTGCGTCATTCAATTTTTTGCCCATTGTATCCTTCAGAATCGCAACTCGAGGCTTGAATTTTTTCTTCAGTTCTTTCAGCTTGAGAAATGCCAAGTTCTTCACTTTTGGTTTTCTAACTCCAAGTCTTTGCACATTTCATTATAATGCTTTACTCTGTCTTCTCAAGCTGCCCTTTGAAATCTTCTGTTCAGCTCTTTTACTTTAACATTTCTTCTGTTCGATTTACCTGCTCTACATTCAGGATCAAGTTTCAGAGTCTTCTGTCATCCATTTTTGTCTCTTCTGTCTTTTTAATGACCTTTTGCTTTTTCCATGTATGATGTCCTTAATGTCCTCCCATAGCTTTTGCATTCCAATCACCAGTAATTATCAATGCATCTTGATTGCATGTTTGATCAATTGCAGACTGCAGAAGTTGGTGAAAATCTTCAATTTCTTTATCTTTGGCATTAGTGGTTGGTGCATAAATTTGAATAATAGTCTTATTAACTAGTCTTCCTTATAGGCGTATGGATATTATCCTATCACTGACAGCGTTGTACTTCAGGATTGATCTTGAAATGTTCTTTTCGACAATGAATGCATGCCATTCCTCTTCAATTTGTCATTCCTCTCATAGTGAACCGTATCATTTTCTGATTCAGAATGGCCAATACCAGTCTATTTCAGCTCACTAATCTCTAGGATATTGATCTTCAAGCATTCTATTTCATTTTTGAAGATTTCCAATTTTCCTAGATTCATCCATCCTTCGTACTTTCCACGTTCCGATTATTAATGGATGTTTGCACGTATTTCATCTCATTTTGAGTTGTGCCACATCAGCAATTGAGGGTCCTGAAAGCTTGACTCCATCCATGTCATTAAGGCTGACACTACTTTGAGGAGGCAGTTCTTCCCCGGTTGTCTTTTGAGTGCCTTGCATCCTGAGGGACTCATCTTCTGGTATTATATCAGACAGTGTTCTGCTGCTATCCAACACTCGTCTGTCAGTTTTTCCTACTGTGATGTCTTGCATGTTGCTGCGATGCTGGAAACTATGCCACCCGTATTTCAAATACCAGCAGGGTCACCCATGGTGAGCAGGTTTCAGCACAGCTTCCAGACTAAGAATGAGAAGAAGCACCTGGCAATCTACTTCTGAAAAATTGACCAGTGAAAACCTTGCGGTGTTGGTCTAAAGACGGGCATATAGGACAATGGAACACTTTAGTTAATTCACAATAAAGCTAGGATAATTGGATGTTCATGTGCAAAAACAAACAACACAGCAACAACAACACATTATCCGTCACAGCAGACACATAAATTAACTCAAAATGAATCTTAGATCTAAGTGTGAGAACTAAAACCATAAAACATCTGTAAGAAAATATAAGACAAAAATCTCTGTGACCTTGGGTTAGGCCAAGCATTCTTAGACATGATAACAAAAGCATAAGTCATAAGAGGAAAAAATTGTTAAGTTGAGCTTAATTTAAAACTTTTGTGCATCAAAAATATCATTTAAAAATCAAAAGACAATCCACAGACTGGGAGAAAATATTTTCAAATCATCTGATAAATTACTTGTATCCAGAATATATAACAAACTCTTACAACTCAATAATAAGAAGAGAAACACCCAAGGTGGGCAAAAGATTTGAATAAACATTTCACCAGAAAAAAGAAAAAAAGATATATGAATGGGTAATGAGCACATGTAAAAAAGATATGCTCAACATCATCATCTATTCACAAAATGAAAATTTAAACCACCATGAGATACCACTTTACACACACTAAAAGAGCTATAATTTTAAAAAAGGCAGAAAACACCAATTGGTGGCAAGTATGTGGAGAAATTGGAATCATCATACACTGGGAATGTAAAATGATGCAGACATTTGGAAATCAGTTTGACAGTTTCTTTAACACTTAAACATAAAGTTACCATAAACCAAAAAAAAACCTCTGCTGTCAAATTGATTCCAACTCATAATGAAGTAGAACTGCCCCCATAGGGTTTCCTAGGCTGTAAATCTTTATAGAAGCAGATTGCCACATCTTTTGTTCTCCTGCAGAGCAGCTGGGGGGTTTGAACTGCACACCTTTCAGATAGCAGCTAAGCGCTTAACCACTGCGCCACCAGTGCTCCCTTTAAGTTCCCGCTCAACCAACCAATTCTACTTCTAAGAAATCTACCCAAGAGAGTGAACATATATGTCCACAGGAAGACTTCTACATAAATGTCCATAATAACCCCAAAACTGGAAATAATCCAAGTATCCATCAACTGGTGACTGGACAAACAAAATATGGTGTATCCACATAATGGGATACTATTCGACAATAAAAAGAAATATTGATACATACTTCAATATAGATGAACCTCAATATTATGCTAAGTGAGAGAGCCAAATGCAAAAACTACATTACTATAAGATTGCATTTATATGAAATGTCAAGAAAGTACAAATTTACAGAGACAGAAAGCAGATCAGTGGTTGCCTGTGGCTAGGGGTGGGAGGGGGAATTCACTATAAATGGGCTCAAGGGGATTTTGGGGAGTGATGGAAATGTTCTGAAACTGTATTGTAGCGATGGTTACAAGACTTTATAAATGGCAAAAAAAATCATTGAATTATATGATTAAAATGAGTGAGTTTCATGTTATGTCAATTGTACCTTAATAAGGCTGTAAATAAAAGCCATGTATGCTCACAAAGAGGTATAATTGCTTATAAGCAGTTCAGCAATTTTAGGTGTAACATTTATATATATATAAATATATATTATATATATATGTAATTTTTGTATATTAAAGTTGTCAAGGATATCATTTTACTTGGATCCACAATCAACACCTGTGGAAGCAGCGGTCAAGAAATCAAACAATGTATTGCATTGGGCAAATTTGCTGCAAAAGACCTCTTTAAAGTGTTAAAAAGCAAAGGTGTTACTTTGAGAACTAAGGTGTGCCTGACCCAAGCCATGGTGTTTTCAATCACCTCATATGCATGTGAAAGCTGGACAATGAATAAGACAGAAGAAGAGTTGATGCCTTTGAATTATGGTGTTGGTGAAGAATACTGAACATACCATGGACTGCCAGAAGAACAAACAAATCTGTCTTGGAAGAAGTACAGCCAGAGTGCTCCTTAGAAGCAATGATGGCAAGACTTCATCTTACTTACTTTGGACATGTTATCAGAGGGACCAGTCCCTGGAGAAGGACTCATGCTTGGTAAAGCAGAGGGTCAGCGAAAAAGAGAAAGACCCTTAATGAGATGGATTGACACAGTAACTGCAAAAATGGGCTCAAATAGAGCAATGATTATGAGGATGGCACATGACTGGGCAATGTTGTACACAGGGTCACTATGAGTCGGAACCGACTCAACAGCACCTAACAATAATAACAATAGTTTTTATATATGTAATTTATATATTTTTTTAATTTTCACATTTAGAAGAAAAGAATTTGTTGAATCTAGGTGGTGAGTACATAATCCAGATGTTGTACTTCCTTAACTTTTCCGTGTTTGAAAATTTTTATAATACAAGTTAGAAAAAATAATTATTTGAATTTCTCATTTGTTGCAGTATAACCTAGAAATTATAGAGAAAAAAGATGAGATCATTGAATAATACCCTGTGCTCCTGTATCAATTAAATATAAGTTTACATAATTATTCTGATGTCTGCTTAATTTTTAATTATTTAAAAATCTTTATAGTGTATGAGCATTAATAGAATTTAGTGGGAACATTCTTAAAAAGGATTGAAAACCAGGCCTTTACTCAGAAACCTAGCCCTATGTTATAAAATTGATCCTACAAGAAAAGCAGATGTTATTTTTTTTGTTTTGACTTTGGGCCTCTTCCCTGAGAAAATGACCTGCTGATGAAGTGAAAATTAATTGCTTTTCAAATCTTGTCCATATTTATCAGCTCTTTTTTTTTTTTTTTTCACAACAACCCTTTAAAGACTTTCTATATCTAAATACATTATGAAACATTCAGTTTAAATGTCCTTGATTGTTGATGAAATATCATCTCAGTGTTTTGGTCTTCACAGTTTAGATTGGTGCTGGCTATATTTATGCCTTCCTCGAGCCATAACATTCCAGACAGAGAGGAATAAAGATGTTTGCTTGGTTACTTTACAGAAAATCTACAGCATAAAAATAGACGCATTTCTATGCTATAGCTGACACATGGTGAGTAAATTTTATTTTCACGCATATTCACAACTACTTTATGATGGTGCATTCTGTTTTTAAAAATAGGTATAAATCTTTTTTTTTTTTTTCCTCCACTAGTGGTTGATTTGTCTATTGAAATAGAATGTTCACAAAGTAGGGTCATAAATGTAATAATAAAAAAAATTGCCGTTGAGTTGATTCCGACTCATAGCAACCCTGTAGGAAACAGTAGAACTGCATCATAGGGTTTCCAAGGCTGTAATCTTTATGGAAGCAAACTGTCACATCTTCCTTGTGCAGAGCAGCTGGTGGGTTCAAACCACCAGCCGTTCAGTTAGCAGCTGAGTACTTAACCACTGGACCACCAGGGCTCCTTGGGGCATCCTCAGCACTCAGTAAATACCAACTTTGAATAGCAGCTAGTCAGAATTCAGATTATTCTACTTCAACATTTATTGAACTTCTGAAGTTCAATAAATGTTCTGGCCAAGGAGGGGATATATTTTATGCTAAATAAATATATTTTATGCTAAATAAATTTTTAAGCTAAATATATTATGCTAAATAAATATATTTCTATAGTTGTAAAATGTTAATAATAGCTAACATTTGCCTGGGACCATCATAAGTGCTTTACATATAATACTATATATCATTTACATATAATACTGTACATATACTACTATATATCATTTATGTGGAGCTTTGGTGGCACAGTGGTTGAGAGGTATGGTGAGCTGTGGCTGCTAACCAAAAGGTCAGCAGTTCGAATCCACCAGCCACTCCTTGGAAACCCTATGGGGCAGTTCTACTCTGTCCTATAGGGTCGCTATGAGTTGAAATCCACTCGACAGCAATGGGTTTGGGTTTTGTTTTTTGTAATCATTTATATACAATTGTTTATATATGCTACTATATTTATATACACTACTATGTATCATTTATTTTCCACATCAGTGCTATCATTTTGCACATTTTATAGATGAGGAAACGGGGCACAGGGAATTTAAATAACTTGCACAAGTAATTTAACAGAGCTAAAATATGAGATAGCCAAAATTTGAACCCACTCATTGTCTCCCTGAGTTTGAGCATAAAATTTAACAGCAAATCTAAAGTTTCAACTTTCTCCTCCTCTAAACACATAAAAAGCTCAGTGTTATCAAGTTAACATGCGTCTAAATTCAGAAAAAAAAAAACTTTTTTATTTCTGAATGGTTTACATAATAATGCAAGGATTATAACACAGTCTGCTTCCAAACAGGAATTACTGTCACAAGGTCATTGCTGAAAATTGTCAAATTTAATCTAAAGTTTCCTATTGAAAAGATAAGTCCTTTGACAGTCAGATTCAAAGCTGGGTTCAGGCTCTGCAGCTTGGAAACTTCTTCCATCCAAACGTAAAGTGACTACACAATTACTCTGGGCCCCATGAATGTACTATCTATTTGTTCTAAGCAAATTAGGCCAGTTGTTTACTGGTGTAATGAAAAAAATAAATAATTCAAAATAAATTCACAGGGGTTTAAATGGTGTGCAAAGCTGATAAAGGGATAGCAAAATATGTGTTATACTGGCCTTCTGTGTGAGCTCCAAATTTTCCCACCAAATGTAGATAATTCTACTTATTGGTAGCATATTTATTATTTTCACTTTTCCTACTTCCCATAAGTAAATGAAACAGTGTACCTCCAGAACACATATATATAAAGACAGTTTTAAAAATCTGAGAGAATAAGAACCAGAGAGAGAGGAAGAAGAGATCCACATCAGCAACCAGTGAGAAGACAGGTTAACACAATTGAAAGTGACATTTAGCAATGAACTTCTTGGCAATCAAGGCTAAAAAAAAAATAAATTATGAATTATGTAGTTCATATTATTGATAAAAGAAAGAAGTTTGCTCTTTGAGAGATACAAGCTTATTCCTAACATTAAATTCTAAGAGGTGCTTTTCCCAGAGATATTTAAGTAGTGGACAATATTGAATTAACGAATGGATAGAAGTTTTGTAAAAGATGCAAAAGCTTACATTGTTTCTTACCTTCTGAATCATTATCTTTTCCCACATATTTACCTTGTTCTAGAGTAAACATCTGTACTCTGACAGCTCAAGCTGGAAATAGACTGAACTCCATGTGGTGGAATCCAGTAATCCAGTAATCCAATATCACAACTAACCAGTGATGTTTTATAGGAGGGGAACAATGGATATGGTTACTTGATTGGTATATACAAACTTAGATCACCAAAATACATTACTGATTGGTAATTACAGGCTTAGATCATCAAAAGACATTACTCGATTGGTAGTAGATTATTTTAAGGCAGGACTTCCCTGTGGCAAGAACTCTTAAGGCAGGAATTCCTATGAAAGCTCTATAAGGCAATTGGCTTAAAAGGGTATAAGTCTCTTTCTTAGATTGGTTACAGTGTGGCAATTACATGAGTATGTGACAAAGGGGGTCGCAGTGTAGATACGTCATCATTACCAGACATTCCTCTTTAGAAACAGTACAGAAGATGGCTGCCACTAGGGTGAAAACAGAACTAGCATACAAGGAATCACATCCAAACTTCAAACTGGCCATTTCAGATCTTATCAGGTACCTCAATTTTTTAAAATTCCCTTACACATTCCCTCCTTTTGATCAAGGACTTCAAGAGAAATTCTTTGATCGGTTCACTAACCATTATTCTGAAAGAAGGCTTTCTTCTGCATGGACTTTGAGCATATGTTTATTCTAGATGGCTGCTTATTTACACGTCTTTAAGACCTCAGGTGCTATGCATGTGAAAATGTTATGATTGTTAGGTGCTATTGAGTCAGCTCCGACTTATTAGTGACTCCATGTACAACAGAACAAAACCCTGCCCAGCACTTCTTTCAAGACAGATTTTTTTTGCCCTTCTGGAAGTCCATGACACATTAAGTATTCTTTACCAACACCCTAATACAAAGGTGTCAATTCTTATTTGGTCTTCCTTATTCACCATCCAACAGTCACATGCATATGAGGTGACCAAAAATATTATAGTCTCAGTCAAGTGTACCCCAGTTCTCAACGTGACATCCTCAATTTTTAACATTTCAAAAAGGTCTTTTGCAGCAGATTTGTCCAAATGCAACACATCATTTGATCTCCTGACTGCTGCTTCCAGAGGCGCTGACCATGGATTCAAGAAAAATGAAAGAAAACTACAAATAGCAGCAGAACATTGTGAAAAGGTAGCTAGGCACTGTTTGATGTCTTCACCATGCCATAGCTTCTTACTTCTGTGATTTTATTACTTGAGGGTTAGTGCAGGGCAGGCCACATTAGAGGAATAACCTGACATCTAATGGCTTATTCAAGGAGTAGGCTTGAGTCCTTCTGAAATATAAGTACTGTCAATGTACAATATTCTTTTCATAGGCATCAAATGGGTATTTTGAGTAATGGCATTTGTCAAAAAATTCATGCAACATTTAACAGTCCCTATGATTATTACAATGACAATGAGTATTATTAATCCAGTTGACAATATAGATTTAATCCATGATCCAATGCCTGACAGTAGCCAGCTGAAAATATCTAGAAAATGAGAGTAACAAAATAAATTTCAGCAGTGAAAAGTATAAAGGAGAATAAAAAGGCCACTAAGCAATAAAGGACAAATATAATGAGAATGCTAATGATAAAAAGATACAATGTACTTCAATATTCATATGACTTACTAAATTAATCTGTGATTGGTATTGATAGTAAGGGGTTAATAACATAAATAGTGGTAACAATTATAAAAATACGATTAGAATTTAAAACAAAAGAACTAATATGGATTCCAATCTCAGATAGGTCATAAGAAATATAACTATTCTCTAAAAGTGGTGTTTATAAAAAGGTCTAGGTTCTCAGAGGAACAACAATATATTAAATCAAAGAATAATACTCCACAGTTTGAGTCCAGTGATAATAAAAAGGATTAGGGTAATCAGAAAACAAATTTCTAGTACCTCTACACTAAACTTTTTTGACATGCTAAAAGTTCAAGTTTATAAAACAAAACGCTATTTCAAAAGCAATGGCAAGTTATAAATTAAGCAAAAATGACTATGATGGTCAGAAATTGGTACCACAGATGAGTTAGGTAATTAAAACAATCAAAATACCTACAACTAAAACTTTGATCCCAGTGACTAAGAAAAGGAGCCCTGATGGTGTAGTGGTTAAGAGCTTGGCTGCTAACCAAAGGTCAGCAGTTCCAATACACCAGTTGCTCCTTGGAAGTCATATGGGGCAGTTCTAATCTGTCCTGGAATCGACTATACAGTAATGGGTTTGGGGTTTTTGGGTTTTTTTTTTTTTTTTTTTTTGTGACTAAGAAAAATTCAAAAAAGTTAAAGCCCTCATTTAAACAACTTATTTCAAAGGTAATGATTAGCATAATATCATCACTAAAACTACCGGGATATAATCCCACAATCATGGATAACAGATAACGATACTAAAATACCAAAAACAATAAAGGCAAACAGTCCAAATTTTACTGCAGACTGCACAGGCAGTTTCAAGTCCGGTCTGGAGATCTTGGGAAAGCAGTCTACCCTGCTATCATCTGCTTCTTTTTTTTTTTTTTGGTGATGTTTCAATTTTAATTTCAATCTGTCATGAGGCTCGACAGTTCATTTGGGAGTTAGGGCTTTCTTCAGTTGGGATAAATGAATCTAAGCCTTAACTCCCTGTAATTTAGCAGCACAGGGATTAGTGAGAAGGACCAAATAATGTCTTTCCTATTGAGGTGCAAGAGAATCTTTTAATTGGTATCTTTTCCAGTAAACCTGATCTCCAGGTTGAACATTATGTAATTTAGATATTTCCTGCTTTTGATTATCAAAAGCTTCCTTAACCTGTGTAAAGCATTCTTTAGAATATTGGATCAAAGATTTACAATATTGTAACAAATCAGATTGAACTAAATTTGAATCAGGGCATGTAGCCAAATAGGGGAGGGCCATTGGCCATCCAGTAATA